TAAAGCCTAAAGCTTCAAACCTATTGCTGGCCTTTTCCGGACACGAGATTGATAGAACATCTTGATTGATCACACCGGTCACGAGTCAAGAGCCACCAGCTGGTCAGGAACACGGCATGGACGTGTCTGAGCTATCATCCGGAGGAGAGCTTCACTCCGTGGTTTTCGCCTTAGCCTGTCCTTGGTGGTTGCGCTCTGCTTTGCGTGCGCAAAGGTTCGATTGTACTGCATGCGGAAGATTACAAATGTCGAGATCGAGTGCAATTTCGCCCGGGCGGTTTCTCAAAGGTTGCCCCGGCCTGAGGTGCCGCGGCCAAGACATGTCACTTAGCCCCACGTCTTTGAATGGAATGGAGCTGTCTGCCTGTCTCCTCGCAGGGTAACGCGCGGCCGCTCTCACGGTGTTGATTCGATGGTCTGAGCCTGAGAACGCTGCAAAGGCACTTGTCACTGGTTGGCGTTGTTGGTCCATGCGTTGTTTGTGTGTGTGTCTGACGCGGTGCCGCTGGCCAGGTTGCCAAATTCATCCTGAGTGAGGCGCAGAAGGATCATCACCGACGCCGCCTGAAATGCGCCACTGAAGCGGCAGGCGCGCGAGGGCGGGCTGCGTGCGCAGACAGGACGATGGAACCGTAGTTTTAACTTCGAGTTAGTTTATCAACGTGTGAGCGCACGAAAGGTGATGACCGATTGACAAGTCATTGAATCACCCCATCAGTACAGTTGAGTGACAAGTTGCGCGAGCTCATCGCCTCAGGTGATGAGACCCGCGCAGTTTGTGCCAAGCCAGCTTCCTCTTCGTCAGCAGCCTACAACGGCTTCTCGCTCTACTTGAGCCAACAGCTGGCAAAAAGAGCGGGGGCCTTGTGCGCATTGTCACATAGTCATGTAGTCCCAGTGTCACATTGCACGCAACCTGCACTGAGGTCCCTCAGCCAGGTGAATCTGCCAACCAGTGTCGGATGCGGACATGGCGAGAGGCGGCGGCTGATTGGAGAAAGCGAGACACCAAGGACCGCCAGGCCTGCTGCGTTGTCACTGTGCAAGTGTTGGTCTTGGGGAAGGAGCGCGGACTTGCCAAAGACAGTGCTTGTTAGTTTGGGGCCGGTGATCCTGGCAGGCAATGGGATGTGAGGCAGTGGCAATTAACCAAGAGACGAAGTCATCAATCGCAGCGGCTGTTGCTCTTGACTCGGGCACCAGCGATGCCTTGGCTGAGGTTGCTCAGACTGGCTGTCTGGACATTTCGGCTGGCTTGGAAGATGAGCATTTTGCTGTCTCCGAGGCAGCAATTGACAGTGCCCGGGCCCAACAGACAGGCTGGCTAAGCAATGCTCATTCAACTTTCAGACAGGAACATGGCCAAATTGTTGAAACGTCCGCGGCGGACCCAGAAGATGATGATATTCAGGAGGAGGAGTTGTGCTGCGCCCGTTTTCTGTGCCCAGGGGTGTGTCGCAAACAACTGCGACCAAGCTTTTTCACATTACTGGAGCAGATCAAGCAAGTCTTGCGACAGGCACGACAAGTCAGGCGAACATCTGGTTACCTGCCAAACCACCCCTGCATTCTCTGGTGCCAGCGCTGCCAACTATCAGGCCCGCCGCTTGACCCGCGTGACGTTGTTCTCCAGAGTGTCCAAGACGTCATGATGCTGACTCGTGTGAACTTTAGCCCCTTTGATTGCACAGCTCTGCAGTTCGACATGCTTTCCGGCGGGCGAGCCACCATGCGTATCAGTGAATCTGGCGTGCCAGAGTTCTTAGCCATGCCCGAAATGATCTTGAGATTTGCTGAGCGGGCAGACATTGTTTTGATGACAGCCTCGTATCGTGCAATGTCGCTTCGTGACATCATTGTTCTGGATGTGTGCAACGAAGACGCGCCGCATGCCCAGGCTGACCAGGCCAACGGAGAATCCAGCAGCGATAGCGCAGTAGATGAGCTCGCTGAGCGCTCAGCCCTTTTGCGTTCTGTGGCACCTGGCAACAAGAGGAAAACAAAAATCTCCAAGAAGTCAAGACCCGCTTGTGGTGTTGGAGGCGCGCGGCGCGCGTCAGCAGTCCCTGACCCAGCTCAGAACAACCAGCCAAACAAAAAGCGCAAGCGCGCAGCTCGCGGCGAATTGGGGGATGACGATAACGCGCAGGCGCAGCCAGACAGTTCGGACTCAGTAGACCAAGCGCTGATCTATGAGTGGCAGGCTGCGCGGGACGCTCAAGATGGACCAGCGCCTAGTTCGGCAACTGGGGCCAAGCGTCCAGCTTCAGCGCCTGCGCCAATTCCGTCCCAGCACGTGCCTACAACACCTGCTCCTTCTTCAAGCGGCGCCCCCCCAAGCGGAGTGCCAATTGTGAGCAAAACCTTCCCATGGAGAGATGAGAGTGGCTACTGCTGGGTGTACCGGGAGAGCACGCAAAAGCCATACCACCTTGGCGCCTGAGCTTAAGGTATTGAACTCAAACGTAACGCGGGAATCCGAGTTTCGACATGTATCGAGCGCCTGCAATTGCAAACTTTCAACAAGTGGCCTGGGAAGTTGCTTTTGAGAATTTTTGAGACCTTCCCAGGCCACTTGTTGAAAGTTGCACTTTTGACAAACACCCTTTCAATATTTGATGGACGGAGTCAGATATCTCTCAAGGTACATAGGTCAACTGACTGCGAGGGCTGATTTTTTGAGGTGTCCCAAACATGTGTTTGCGAAGCCCAAACACACGCCCTTCAGGACACCTGAACAGGGTGGCCCAAACACGTGCTTTCTGAGCTCAAGAGACGTGTTTTAGGACACCCCAGAGAAGGATGGCCCAAAGCCAAGCACATGGCCAAACGTGTTTTTGACAGTTGCGCTGGTGCTCCAAGGACGGATCACTGAGATGCGGCAGCACACACCGCAGCACTGTGTCTCCATAAGATGCAGCCGGACACCAAGATATTTGATGTGTTGCGTTTTGTGTTTTGTTTCTGGACGAGGCCAACACTCACAATGCTCGCGCTTGTTGAGCGTGACGAAATTGCCCTCAGACTGCGAGCCCAAGCTTCTGGCGTGGCTGGCAGCCGGCCAACAAATTCCATCACGATCAGAGGGAGCCAAGCACAAGGAGCTGTTGCTTGGATTGTCTACCATCGATTGCGTTTTCAATTGTCAACAAAAACTTAGAAAGTGGAGTGTGTTGTCGGGGCTTCAATTTGCAGACAGAGATGGCGCTGCCAGGCAATTGCGCGTTACGCAGTTTGATGTTTTAGCGGTTTGTGGTCTGTGAGACGACAGATGTCAGTTTCAAGTTGAAGCTGCGGGCAAGGGTGCGTGTTTTGATGTGTCGGTTTTCAGTTTGCTGAACGGTTCAGCTAGGCAGGCGGGAACGCTTTGGATTGACTCACAGCTCAGCACGCTGACGGTGGCCCGTCTCAGGTTCGGCGCTTTCGTTGGAGTTGGCGCGTGACCCTTCATCAACCTTTAAAAGGTTCCAGAACTCTCGGTCGTTGAGCACTTGCGGGGAAGCTGATCGCGGCTGCTGCTGATTCACAAGCTCAAGCGATTGCTTGGACTGGGGGCAAGGCAACCCATGTGCTGTGAAGGTTCGGGTTGAAAAGTCACGCGTGCGGTTCTCAGTTGCCACATGTCAAGTCTCAACTCGTGCGCCCGTGAGCGACGAGCTGTGGTTGTGAATCGTTGTGAGTGACTAGCCATCTAGCTTCAAGCCTCTGCACGTGCGGCTGTCAATCGCTTGGCAAACTTCACTGCCCCTTTGCTCTCGTGCCACACAGCGCTCACCCTTGCTGATTCGGATTGGGGTCATGTCCGCAACCGGCAAGAGTGTTGGCGGTGTGGGAAGCAAACATCCGTCAGAGGCTCCGCCGCCACCTGAGGGATACGATTTCCCAGACTCCTTCAAGCCCCGACGGTGCAGAAGGTGCGGGGTGTGGAACACTGAGCGGGCAAGCTACGATCAGACTCTTGGGCCAGAGCGTGCTTGGGGTGTCATCGTGGCTTGGGAGTCTGGCTCAAGATCTTCACCAGCTGGCAGCCACTGCTTGCTGTGCCGGAAGGCCGGGTTTGTTGTGGCTGGTTGGCGGTGTTGCGTCGGCTGTTTTGGAAAGTCAATTTAGATTGGATTTAGACTGGGCCCAGAAATAGTGGGGAAGGCGAACGTTGAGATGTTTCCTTGAATGACTCCTGCAGTGACTACGCGCTCCTGCCTGGCCATGCCCATGCTCTGTAGCGTGCCCACGTCCTAACCTGCGCAGACCGTATTTGCACCGTTCCCACGCCGTGCCTGTGCCGTGCTCGCACCGTACCAGGACTACACGCGCCCTACCCGTACTGTACCTAGCACCGTACCCGTACCGTACCCGTACCGTACCCGTACCCGCACCGTACCCGTACTCAACCGTACCCGCATCCAGGATGTACCCAATTAGCAGCAGATTTAGCGGCAGATCTGCCGCTAAATCTGCTGCTAATTGGGTACATCCTGGATGCGGGTACGGTTGAGTACGGGTACGGTGCGGGTACGGGTGCGGTACGGGTACGGGGCGGGTGCGGCGCGGGTACGGTACGGCGCGGGGGCGCGGGCGCGGGCGTGGTGCGGGGGTGGGCATGTGATTTACAGATTCCATTAGTGGACCTTGTTGCTTGGTAAAGATTCACAAGACCCCACGAAACAGTTAGACAGTCAGTTTGCGCCCCCTGACAGACCGCAGAAGTTGGTGGGTGGTTGGCCAAGTACGGCACGATTCTCAATCTTGACAAGGAGTTGGATAAGCAGGTCAACGAGAGCCACCGCTTCCTCGAAGACCGTGAGCGGCTTCTGGAACACAAGCGGGCAAGTCCAAGCTCACGAATCACCGCTGCTTGCAATCCGCTTGCGCCAGCCAGGGAGGAAATCAAGGTTGCCGAGGTATCCCGGACCGGCCTCAAAGGGCCCAAGGTCCATTTCATGAGGCTGGACAAATACGAAAAGATCCATGGCAAGGTAGCTGCCGAAAAGGTGAAGTCAATGGTGGTGCGAGAGGGTGGACGGGAGGTCACTGTTCAAGGCGTTGACGTCATCTTTGACGAAGTGTCTTGCTTGCACAGACTCAGACAAATGGTTCCTTCACCTTTTTTTCCTGTACCACCCAAAACTATGTTTCCCTTCGCGTGTCATTGCGTGTCACGGGCCGCGTTCACCATGTTTGTCTGTTTTTTTTTAACGCTGCGGCGCCAGACAGTGTGACAGGATGATGGGTTGTACACGTACATCAACGAGCAGAGCATGGACGTATCCAGAACAACTCTCATCAACGACCCAGACACGACCATCTCTGCAGACCAGAACGACCGTGTTCACCAGGCTGCCCTGCGTCAAATCAGCCGGCCTGGCGACAACGCAGTGCGCCTCTCTGGTGCTCGTGGGCAGAACGATCTGGCTTCACATCATGGGCAGGTTGATTTATCTGTTGCCCATGGCAACGACGACGTGGAGATGGAGGATGAAGGGGACGATGACGACGATTATGCGTTGAACCCGCAACCGTTTGCGAGGTTGTTCCAACGGATGGGGCTCAGCAACCCGAAGAAGAGAGCTGCCGGCAATGCCAACAACGGCAGCGGCCCCACATCAGTCCCCGTCAAACGGGCAAAAGCGGATCAGGGTGACGGAGGGCGACAACCTGCTTCGTCTGCGCCAGCCCGAAACAAGGCGGGGAAGACTAAGACGGCAAAGCCACCAGATGCCCCAGCTAACTCCGACGGTGACAAAAAGGACGAGGCGATGACTCACGACGACAATCTCCTCATCGACTCCTACGAGGGCCAATTCAGTAAGTTGAAGCTTTTCAACAACGTGGGCAGCGATGACGCTTCTTTCGGGGTGTGGGCGAAGGCTCGCATGACATCCTTGTCGGACCTGAAGGGAGGACCGGATCAATGAAATGGTAGTTACCCTGGTGAGCTTGTGAGAACCTCGCAACTGCAAGATTCCAGTTTGCCCCGATTTGTTTTCATTGGACTGACATGGTTCCCAGACCCCCGATCACATCACGTTGATGGTTTTTGTTTGGTTTGACTTACCCAATCACATCACTGCCGGCTCGTTTGCAGGAATTCAGGCCAAACGGAAATCCTTGGCGAGACGCAAAGGGGACTTGTCGCACCTCAAGAGCTGCTTGGACAGCCTCATCAGCCGCATCACCACGCTGAGTGACTTTGTGAAACAGCTTGTCAGCGGGACCACTGAGGGGAGATCCGTGTATGAAACCCTTGTGAAGCTTGTGGATGAAGAGGACCTTGAACCGCCGCCTGCAATGTGGCAACGCTGCTTGCGGGCATACGCTTTCGAGGACCGCACCTTTGCAAGATGGTTGTTGCGCGCGTGCGAGCAGTGCGCAGCTTTATCTATTTGCACGTGCAGTGCGGGTAGCTGCAACGTGCGCCCCATTTGGCATTTCCTGCTTGCGCTTACTCGGTCGTTATTATCGATAAACTTAAATCCGTTTTCACGCGTTGACGCTCCCCTCCCTGTACCCAACTAGGACTTGAAGCTGGCCCAGTGGCAGTCGTTCTTTGGGGAGACACAGCGGCTCTGCTTTCATCACTTGGGTGAGGCAGATGGTCGTGCCTACTTGGTCTTGCTTTCCAGCCAGTTGCTGCAGCGCCTTGTGAAAGGCCACAACGGGACTAAAATCACCGTGGAGAGCTTGGGCTTTGTGAAGGGCTTTGTAGACGCATTGCACGAGCACTTGGACACCATTACGGGGACAGATGACATGAGAAACCCTCCACCGGCAGCATTCAGGGATGAGGACGCAATCACGGCCGTGCAGACGATGCTGGATTTCACAGCGCCGCCCGGTCGCGTTCTCGATGCATGCAAGATGTTCATCAAGTCATCTGAGTACAACGATCATTGGGCTATCCAAGCCTTCAACTTGGACAAAGGTCGCAAGATTGTTGAGGCGGCCAGGGAGAATGCCAAGAAGAGGGAGGCCCAATCGACAGTTCTGGAGTCGATTGCTGCCGCCTCCGCGTCGCTTCACGCGACCTACCTTACTCATGAAGCAGGTGAAGAAGGCTGGGACTTTCACGTCCTCACTGCTGAGTGCGGGCACACCATTGTCAAGGCCCACAAGGCTGCTTCTGGGCCAGGCAAGGTTGTTTTTGCCGGCTGGTGGTTTTGTTATGTCCAATGTAGACTCTAGACAGTTGTTCAAGTTGATGAGACCTAGAGCTTGGACTTGGAACTTGGAAGCATTGAGGTGTTGGCCCACAACTGGAAACGTGCAACTTGAGACATCAGACTTGCAACCGGTTGGGCTTTCAATGGCGGACACGTGTTATGTTTTGTTATCGGCCAGGCATGAAAGCCGTGAAAGGCGCTGACAAGGACTTGCTGCTCAAACTGCAAGCCGACGTTCAAACTGCCACGCGTTCAGCCTGCGTCGCCTTTGTCTCGCAGGCTTTGGTCCCGTTCCTGCAAGATTGCGACAGAGCGTTGCGCAACAGATCCGCCATTCCAGATGCGGCCAACTTGCTCACGCAGGCTTCTTGTGTCAGGCAGCTTCAAAATGTTGCCCACACCAAGCTAGTTGATGGTCTGCTCAAATTCACAGACTTCTTTGCCAACTTCCGTGTGTCCTTGGAGAAGGCTGAGACGCTTGCCGCGGAGGCCTCGCAGAGTGAACTGACGGCGTGGCAACACCAGAGTGCTGAGCTCCTTGCCAAAACTGCCACCCCAGCCAGCCCAATCAAGGAGCTGCTGCGTGCTGTGTTCGAAGATCTTTCCGAGCCCATCAGTCGCACTTTGCAAGGGCGAGTTGACTCTGAGGCCTCTGACCATGTTGAGAAGTGCATTTCATTTCTCAACAAATCTATGACCAATGTGGAGCTAAGCGATGACGATATGATCTGCTTCGTGGGTCACGTGGAGCAACTGCTTCGTATGTCCTCTGTCTTGTGTAGTCGTGGCGACGCAATTCGAGCTGGCGTTTGTGTTGTTGAGGCGACAGTCAGATGCAATCGTTACATTGGAGGCTTCCAGCCCGACGCATTGTCACTTGGTGTTGACAAGCTTTCCGACCAAACTAGCAAGGCCATCAAGAGCATCAAGAATCTGGATAAGAAGACCACCCAGGCTGATCTCCTGGGCCTTCTCACCTCGATAAAGTTCAATGAGGGCAGCCTCAATTTCACGCCTTTCAGCTTTGCCAGTCAAGTTAATGACACCTTGTTGAAGCTGGAGCTGAAGGCAGATGATATTGTCAAGGCCATCAACCGTGGGCTTGCGGAGCAGTTTTCACGTCATGAAGATGTCGACACAAGCATTCCAGATGACATATCAGGGATCTCTGAGGTTCAAGACGCTGGCAAGTTGAAGTCTTTCATCCAGAAAACGTTTCAACTGCAGCGGACCAAGGACATGGCGGACCATGCTTGCGACCTGGAGGCCCTCCTTGACCAGGTGAGGGACCTCTCGAAGAAAACCGGCGTCGCGTGTTCCGACCTGTGCGAGTTCAGCAAGATCGAGTCCAAGTGGCGTTCCTGCTTGTGCTGGATGCAGCTTGCTTAATTGAAACCAGTGTAGTTTCTTGAGAGTTTCCGTTTTGGTCCCAACTTTTTCGTTTCACTTGCTTGCAGGTTTTCCAACCGAACGAATCAGCAGCTCCTTGTTCTGGGTTGATATGGGCACTCATGTCATTAACTTGTTGCTACGAAACGGAGGGCAGAGTCTTTTGCCCTGACTGAGGTCTGTCGGCAACTTGCTAAGTTGCACTTGCTCGAAGGCAGTCATGCGATCGGTGGAGGCTGGCACCAAGCTGACGGGAAAGGCGGTAGCATCCTTGCAAGATGCGCTCAACCTTGCCAAAGAGCACAATCTTGAGGTGCCGCCTGGAATTCAAGCCATTGCCACAAAGCTTTCAAGCTGATGTGTGCAGCTAGCGATTGACGTATTGCTACGCGCGTGCCCGCAGCTGTGTCTTTGGCGATCCAAATGCATTGCCCACAAGTTTCAGTCAATAATTCGCTTGCTTGTTCTTACTCAAACCTGCGGAGCAGCGATATGCTGATATGCTACACGCTGTTTCCTCATGCAGTCAGTGAGCAGTTGGGCCGCGCTACCATGCGAAGTCACACAACTTACGGGTGAGTTTGCTTTTGGCTTAGCTCCTGCTCAGTCCAACTCACGGCGGCCCGCTGTTTCTGACTTTGAGACAAAGATGCTGGCTGAAACCAGGTCCTTGTCTAGTGACGCTAGATTCCGGTCTGCCTGCATTGGCAGCGCTTGTGATGGGGTTTGGCCAAGTCGCTGTAATGCAGGTGGCCCTGCAAGAAACCCGGCCAGATTGCGACGTGGCCAAGTGCACAAACGAGCTGCGTGACGCAGTGGATTTTCACGCATTTTCACATCTTCATGTTTGGTGCAAGCTGAGAGTTGCGAGGGGTTGAGTTGAAGTTGTGTAGATGGTGAGCAACCTAGCAGATAGTCATGCCACAGTGCCACAGCCACTCCTGACTCCAATTGTTTTGCCTTGAGCTCAAGCCCACTTGCAGCTGCGATTGCCTGATTCGTCATGGCGCCTAAGAAGCGGGCGTCTTCGGCTCATTCCAGAACCCCGGCCGCCAAAGCTAAAGTGGCAACAGCCAAGGCTAAGGCGTGTCCGGAAACGCCGTCGCCCCGAGTTAGGGTCCGCTCCAAGTCAGGTGCTGGCGGGCAGGGGCAATTGCCTCAACATAGTCCTGGAGCAACAAGTGGAGCTGAGCCACGCACGGATGCGATTGTTCCCCACGAAGAAGCTTCGCTATCTTCTACGGCTACCGGTGACGTTACCACTACCGCTTCAACCGCAAGGCAGTTGCGAGACCCTCAAGCATTGGCTTCGCTGGCTGCAATGAGCAAGTTGAACTCGAAGCCCCTGGTCAACTTGCCGGTGGACCCGCAGGGGGAGAGATTCTGGAAGAGCTTGCTCAAAGCCCCTTCATCTGGCAGCTCCACGCAAGCACTTAGCCGTGCCGCCGCTTCTTTTTTTTTTTCGGTCAGCCGGCCTGTCGACATGAAATTGATACCCAACGCAGTGTTGCGAGGATAGCTACACATCAGACTCGACTATCAGAATTTACGCCATGTTTGCTTGGGTGTTGTGTCAGTTGAAGTTGAAGTGTGATCCGAAGTCAATGTCTGGCCGGCCCAGGGGCTGAAACTAGTGTGGTGCCCGTCGCAGAGAAGCAGATCACACATCCCGATGCTTCCTTGCTTGAGAAGTCTGGGAAGGAGGAGGGCGGTTCAAATTCAACGTCAACCGCGACTGCTGCAACCTCAATCCCCGACACTTCCTTGCCTGCGAAGTCTGGAAAGGCGGAGGAGGATGAAGATGAGTCCATGCCAGATAGTTTGACGGAGGCGTTGTGCAAAGAGCTCGAGATAGACTTCCCTGGCCCAGACTCAGATGATCATAAGGACGCTGACAACGACGAGGCGGCCAAAGGTGCCAGTGGAACAGGCATCTTAGCCGCACGCAAGACCCAGGCGTTGCAAAGTTGCTGACCTCCCATTAGCCCTGCGTATTGCGGTGTGTGCGCGTTGGTGTCTGGTCACGGATAGCTTCGCTTGTTTTGCAAGCACGTAACACCTTGCAGGCAGCAGCGGCAACGCGGGTGACGGTGGCCACAGTGAAGCGGAGGAGTCGGACCGGGAAGCCGCCTTGGATCCCAAGCCTGGCGCCCCGCGGTGTCATGTGCGACGCTGTGCAAGGGACACTGGGCCAGGGATAGAGGCCTTTGTCTTAAACGGTTGTGTTTCCACTCAATGTCTTTCCTTTGTCAGCTTTGGCGCGGCGTTGAGCCGTAGCAAGATGCAGATCCACTGTACTGTCGCCTGCCCTCAGACATGTCGCTGGTGGTTGTTGCTTGTTTCCACCGCTCCCCAAGGACCACGTGGACTTGCTCACAAACAAGTTTGGCTACGGCTCGACTGGCATGGTCGTGCAGAGCTTGCCGCGGAAGCTTGTCATCATGTCTGCGTGCACAGGGACGGGGATGCTAGAACTTGCGGCCCACGCGGTGGCTGCGGAATTCAATGATCGGTTCCTGGCCTTGTCGGAAACCGACATGTTGTTTCAGGCTTGAGCAGAAGGGTTTTGAACAGTCACGCAGCTCAGTCTGTTGCCTCACTGTGTCAGCGTGACTTGGTATCATTCGCAGGTGGAGCCGGCCTTTATGTGTGAGATCGTCCCTGCCAAGCAGAAGTTTATCCAATCCCATGTGATGAATGCGGGCGCCGAGGCGCAACGTTGGCTGTTCATGTGGTGCGTTAGCCAGCTCAACTCAAAAGGGTGGACGCAGGCACTTGGCAGAGCCTGTTTTGCTTTTGGAAGTTGGGAGGAAGGTGGCGCGCACCCTTGCTGCCTTTATGTGGACATTACCAAGTTGGCCGACGACAGCCAGCGGTTTTGCATCACCCATCAAGGCAGCTGCCCTTTGGCCAGCGGCCCAGGGTGTTGCGCCTCACTTTTGTTGCTTTCAAGTGGCCTGAACTGCACAGGCCAACGAATTCGACGAGCCAGCGATGACCATTTTCGGAGCTGGCTTCAGCTGTAAGCTCTTTGGCCAAAGGTTTGAGTTGAGCAGGTGTGCAGGATGCCGGTGGTTTGGGATTGCGCCTACTTGCGAATGTGACGGTTGTGCCAGCTATGGTGCCAGGTCATTCAGCAGAATGAACAATGATTATTCAGCCTTAAAGACGGCCATGGCCGATGATCGGGCCGGGGTTCCAGCCAAAGCCAGTTTGCGTGTGCAGGCTGCAATCACTCTCAGAAATAGTAAGTGCATTGTTGCCGATGCTTCAAGGAGTGCTCGTCAACGGCAACCTTCAAGGGAGTCTGCCACATACTGGCCACATGCCAGCCAAGCGCGCTGATCCTGGAAAATGTCGACTCCATCGACTCCGCAACTGGTGATGAGTCAGAGGAGAAGGAGCACCTTGCGCTGCTTTTGTGTGAGTAAATGATTTGTGAGTTTGCCGGCCGGTAAAGTCTTGCCAATCAGCTATGGTGTGCGCACCAAGGACAAACCTGTCAGTGGTGCTTGCTCATTTGAGATCACTGGGCTATGAGGTTTGTGCAGAGCGCATGCGGGCGTCTGACTACGGGCTCCCGCAACGACGGACGCGATATTACATTATTGGCCTCAGGCAGGGTGCGTTCGCTGAACTGTCCGGCGAGCTGATCAAGCGTATCCCTGGAAAGTTGCAAGCCACAAAGATCGGTGGCGCGCAGGCGAAGCTTGTGTCAATTCACAAATCGCGCCTGCAATTATTTGTCCAGATTTTGCTCAGGAGGCATTCCTGCTACCAGCAGACCACCCGCGTGTGTTGGCAGAGCTTGAGCGGCGGCGACACGTCGCAGCGGGGCAGGGCCGCAAGCGAGGCAAGGATGGTGCCCAAGATTCTGGTCCGGCAGCGTCGAGCAACGATAAGTGGACGGAGGTGCACAGCGCGATGGCGGAGAAGTGTTTCTTGGCAGCAACTGGTTCGCTATGAGGATTTCTGCACAACGATTGCGACTGACGGTCTCTAACATAGTGTCATGACATTGTCCCAAGCTTCAGGCTGCCTTTCTCTAGTCACTTCCATTCGGATTGTTCAGAAATCCAGCTGAGACGGCGTGCAATGGCCGCTTCAACCTGGTGAAGACCTCGCTGCTTCTCCTTGGTTTCAAGTGTTGACTGCGAGAGAGAGAGAAGCGCCTTGTTTTTAGTACGCTGTCTGTGAAATATGTTTTTCACGTCCGCCCACGCGCAAACAATGTGGATGAAGAAGATGGTGATGTGACGATGCTGACGATGATGACTGAGAGGTGGCGGTGCTGATGATTCAAACGATGGTGATGGTAACCATGGTCATGATGTTGATGGTGATGATGATGGTTGTGCTGGCGATGTGAATTGGGATTAGGATGGTGACTGATGAGAGTTGTTCGGTGTTTGGTAGTCGGGATGGTTCCAGGTGCTCTCTTTTGTGCAGCTGTGGAACGACCGAAACTCCCACAAGGGCCCTGCGGGCCAGATTGCTTACGCAGATGTGTCGCAGTCGGTGACGCGGATCCCGTCCAGCACGGTGGCTTCCCAGGCGCGACTCCCGCTCGCCAGCAACTAGACTGAGGGTGTTCTGTGAAAGTCAACCGCGTGTTTGGTGGTCAAGATTGTTTCCCTTGCTCGTGTTTTTTGGAAACAGGCTTGAAATAGGTCAACAACGCTGTTTGAAAGAACGCAACTAGGCCCCGAGGTTGTGGAAGTTAGGCTTGCGTCGATAGACTTGGCTGTGTCTCATTTATTGGCAGACTGGAGGTGGTACCAACTATATTGCCCCAAGCCAGAGTTTGGTGCACGCATCAGCAGCGCCTACTATTGGGTCAGAGGCTGAGTAGTTCCTGGCAGGAGTTGCAAGTTCAAGCTCAATTATCGAGCTCAACAATTTTAATTCCAACCGCAAATTTGGAAAACAGAAAATGTGTCTGAATGGTCTTTTGCGGTTCTTCTTAGTCCTGGATGTTTGACGCCTGCCGAGGGTCTGAG